TAGAACTCTTGCTTTTTCAATGATACAATGGATGTTGGCAATTTGATCTCTGGTTCCTCTGCCTTTTCTTAGAACACCTGGAAGTTCTCAGTTCACGTACTGTTGAAGCCCAGCTTGGAGAATTTTGAACATTACTTTGCTAGTGTGTGAGATGAGTGCAGTTGTGTGGTAGTTTGAACATTCTTTGGCATTGCCTTTCTTTGGGATTGGAATGAAAACTGACCTTTTCCAGTCCTGTGGCCACTACTGAGTTTTCCAAATGTGCTGAGATATTGAGTGCAGCACTTTCACAACATCATCTTTTAGGGTTTTGAAATGACTGAACCTAAAATATGACTTACTTACACAACAGAAACAGACTCACAGACTAAGCAAATGAACTTAGGTTACCAAAGGGGAAACGTTGTGGGGGTTATAAATTAGGAGTTTGGGATTAATATGTACACATTACTATATATAAAATAGATAATAAGCAAGGACCTATTGTACAGCACAGGGAATTCTACTCAATATGTGATAACATAAATGGGAAAAGAATTTTAAAAGCCAGATATTTGTATATGTACAACTGAATCACTTTGCTATACACTTGAAACTAACAGAACATTGTCAATCAATTATATGCCAATATTAAAAAACAAATAGAGTATAAATAATCAATCATGGTATATAAATCATGACCCACTTTGGTTCAAGTGAAAGCAAAGCACTAGGTAATTCTAACTTGTGAAACGTGAACAAGACTAATAAAGAGCTGAAAGCCTCTAGGCTTGTGCAGTGCCCTGCACGCCCCGCTGTGTCCCAACACTGAGGATGTCCCCTCCACTGGGATCTGAATGGCTTGGATGCTTCCTTTGACTGAAAGCTTTGCAAAGGCAGAGTATCTAGCTTCCTGCTGTGTTACTGGTGGTCAGGTGACAGTGGTGAGTAAAGGGCTCTAACACTAAGGTAACCAACCTCATCAGTTAGCCCGCTGCATTAGAGTCAACCAGTGGCCCAGCTGGCGCCTTCGCCTCCACAGGCTCTACAGAGTTAGGCAGCCCCCAGCCCTGCTGAGGCAGGACAAGCAAGAGCTGCAGCCCCAAGTGCAACTGTGGGACACTTTCCTGCTTCATGTCACTGGGCATCAGAAGGAAGAAGTCCTTCTTCCTGGCTCTGAAGTCCAGGGTCTAACAGCCCAATGGAGATGGCAAACGGCCTTAGTAAGCAGAGCCGGGGGCCTCTCCAGGATCAGAGAGGACAGGGTGTCTAAGGAGGGGACCAGGAGCCAGAATGGCTGGGGAAGATGCTGGGCATCAGCTCTATGTGTATTTCAAAACCTGTGCTGAATGTTCATTTGGGGAGGGCACAGGTTATTCTTTGTGTCTACAGGTATTTCCAAATGACAGTACCTGACATTAAGAAATATGAGATGATTATTTGAAATTATTCATTTAAATAACTTGTCTTTAATCCTGCCTGCACATTAGAATAATTTGAGGAGTTAAAGTCCTATGATAAAACTCCTAGAAGAGAGCATAGGCAAAACATTCTCAGACATAAATCATAAATAAATCAATATTTTCTTAGATCAGTCTCCTAAGGGTATAGAAGTAAAAACAAAAGCAAGCAAAATGGACCTAATCAAACTTACAAGCTTTTGCAAAGGAAACCATTTTTTAAAAATGAAAAGATAACCTATGGGATGGCAGAAAATATTTACAAATAATGGGACAAACAAGGGTTTAATCTCCAAAATATACAAACAGTTCTTACAGCTCAACAACAACAACAAAAAATAAAAAAATGGGCAGAAGACTTTACAGACATTTCTTCAAAGAAGACACAGATTGCCAAGAGGCACATGAAAAGATGATCGACATCACTAATTATTAGAGAAATGCAAATCAAAACTATAATGAGATACCATCTCACAATATTCAGAATGGCCATCATTAAAAAGTCTACAATTAACAAATGCTGGAGAGGGTGAAGAAAAAAGGGAACTCTCCTATAGTACTGATGGGAATATATGTTGGTACAGCCACTTGGAAAACAGTATGGCAGTTCTTCAGAACACTAAAAATAGAACTGCTGAGTGGAAGTCAGCAATTCCACTCCTGGGCATATACTGGACAGAGCTCTAATGGATTAAAGACCTACATGTCAGCCTGGATACTATAAAACTCTTTAAGAGTAAAACAGGCAGAACACTCTTTGACATAAATCACAGCAAGATCTTTTTTGACCCAAGTCCTAGAGTAACAAAAACAACAATGGGAACTAATTGAACTCAAAAACTTTGCACAGCAAAGGAAACTATAAACAAGATGAAAAGACAGTCCTCAGAATGGGAGAAATATCTGCAAACAAAGCAACTGACAAGGGATTAATCTCCAAGATAAACAGTTCATGAAGCTCAATACCAAAACAATAAACAACCCAATAAAAAAATGGTTAGAAGACTTCAACAGACATTTCTCCAAAGACGACATATAGATGGTCAAGAGGCGCATAAAAAGATGCCCAACATCATTAATTATTAGAGAAATGTGAATCAAAACTACAATGAGGTGTCCCCTCACACTGGTCAGAATGGTCATCATCAAAATATCTACAAACAGTAAATCCTGGAAAGGGTATGGATTGAAGGGGACCCTCCTACAGTGGTGGTGGGAATGTAAATTGATACAGCCACTATGGAGAACAGTATAGAGTTTCTTTAAAAAATAAAACTAATAATAGAACTACCATATGATCTAGCAACCCCACTCCTGGGCATATATCTGGAGAAGACTATGATTTGAAAGGAACATGCACCCTAATGTTCACTGCAGCACTATTTACAATAGCCAGGACATGGAAGCAACCTAGATGTCCATCAACAGAAGAATGGACAAGGATGTGGTCCATCTATTTTGGGTTTGCCAAAAGGTTCATTTGGGTTTTTCTATAACTCCTAAACCAAAAAACCTGAAAAAAGCTTTTTGGGCAACCCAACACAGTGGAATTCAGTTCAGTTCAGTTCAGTCGTGTCCAACTCTTCATGACCCCACAGACTGCAGCACGCCAGGCTTCCCTGTCCATCACCAACTCCCAAAGCCTGCTCACACTTATGTCCGTCTAGTCGGTGATGCCATCCAACCATCTCATCCTCTGTCATCCCCTTCTCCTCCTTCCAGAACAGTATGAAAAGGCAAAAAGATATGACAGTGGAATTACTCATCCTTAAAAAGGAACAGATCTGTGCCATTTACAGAGTCATGGATAGACCTAGAGACTGTCTTTCAGAGTGAAGTCAGAGAAAAACAATTATAATATACTTATGCATATACGGGGAGTCTAGAAAAATGGTACCGATGAACCTATTTGCAAAGCAGAAACAGACACAGATGTAGAAAACAAACATACGGACACCAGGGAGGTAAAGGAGGGCACCTGGGGTGAGTTGGATGCTGGGACTGACATGTACACTACTGTGTATAAAGCAGATAACTAACGAGGACCTGCTGCGTAACACAGGGCACTCGGCGCTCGGTGGTGACCCAGATGGGAAGGAAACCCAAAAGGGGGATGGGTGTGTACATACTCACTCTGCTGTGCAGCGGAAACTAAATTACAAAGCAACTCGACTCCAGTTTTTAAAAGATAAATGCACCCTTATTTTCATAGCAGCACAGTTCACAATAGCCAAAACATGAAACATCCTTCATGTCCACAACAGATACATGGATAAAGAAGATGTGGCACATGCATACAATAGATACCATTCAGCCATAAAACAGAATGAAATAATGCCATCTATAGTAACACGGATGGGCCTGGAGGTTATCATACTAAATCAAGCCAGGAAGAGAAAGAAATACTATCTGATGGCACTCGTATGTGGAATCTAAAAGATGGCACAAATGAACCTATCTTCAAAACAGAAACAGACTCACAGAGGACAGACCTGTGGTTGCCGATGGGGAGAGGATGGGGGAGGGAGGTGCTTGGAGTTGGGGATTCGTAGATGTAAACTATTATATAAAGATACATAGTATGGATGAAAAGGTCCTAGTATATAGCACAGGGACCTATATTCAGTATCATGTGATAAACCATAATGGAAAGGAATCTTTAAAAAAGAACGTGTATTATGTATATAACCGAGTCACTCTGCTGTACAGTAGAGATTGGCACAACATTATATATCAACCCTAGTCCCATTAAACAAAAATTTGAAAACTTAAAAAAAAGTCCTACAGTGCAGAGTCTGGCTTAATTCTCCAGGTGTGGCCCAGGTAACAGTATTTTTTAACTGGATGTCATACAGCCTGACTGAACCAGTAATTTCAGGGAACGTCGCTGCTTGGGTTACTCTCCTGCTCTTACATCATGTGTATTGTCGCTGCGTATCTGCCCTATACACAGTTGATGCTTTCTCTCTGAAAGCTGGCTGCCCTCCACTCCAGTAACTACAGTCATTAGTTTTGAGAGACAAGTCTGTGGGGTTCTGGTTTCTCCCAGGCTGATCAAAATTCACTTTATTCTACAGCAGAACAGTCCAGAGCATGGGAGTATGTTGCTACTGCAAACAATGAACTGTTAAAGATTACTTCCATTTTAAGGTTTAAAAATTTACAGTATCTTGTGCCCTTTCATCTCAATAAAACTGGCAAAAATATAATGGAAACTGGAAAGATAGCTTATTAATTCGTTTACACAGTCATCATTTTTAAGGGTCAAAACTCTTTCAAAGAAGCCCTACTAAGTACAAATCAGGTTCACCCAGACAGAATTAAAGGACTTGGATTTCAAAGGCTCTGTCCATTTCATCTTGGCCCCAAAAATAAGGGCTTTGCTGACCTGAGGTCAACTGGGGAGCCGGTTCTCAGGGCACCGACTCCCTGGCCCCAGCACGTCCCACACGCAGGACCAGGCTGGGGTCTCAACCGGGAAATCCTCTGGATTCCCAGCTGTTCCCTCTGACCGCCTCACTGCACTCCATCCTTGTTAACCTCAGTATTTTAATTCCTTAGGCATTCCAGAAGTGTTCCTTTATGGATGTAAATTCAAACAGTCACGCTGAGCAGTCCCGGGCTGACAGCCACGTTAAAGACACTAGGCCGGGGGCCACCGCCCCACCCAAGGAGAAGAAGGTAATACGTGGCAGTTACACGTTGGCCACCCCGTGGCCGTCCTTCTTTCCTGGCTCTGACACTAACATCGCCCTGTGCTTGAGCTTCTGTGCGTTCTCTCTTTTCCTCACCTTTTTTTTTTCCCTTCCTTAAACTAATGGAGACACAGCTTGGGGTTCACTAGAGACCTCTGGTTCGGGTTTCCAGAGTGGATGCTTTGTTCTGTACACAGCACACAACCGTAGATGCAGAATTAGGCATTTTCTCCCCAAACCAAAGATAAGACATCATCTCTCTTAAGAGAAAAAAAAAATGGAAACATGAAGCAGGTAGCACTTTTTCTAATTTTTAATGTGTCTTCTGGACCAAAGATGTCTACATTAAAAGTAAGCAAAAGCTTTAGATTCCAGGAAGAAAATGCACAGCAAAATTGTTGACCTGCCATCCACAGGTGTATCCATGGAGACGTTCACACATGTTTGAGGATGCCAGAGTTTTTGTTACTACTACAGATTCTCAAAGTGCACCTTCCAAGTCAACAAGCTCAGTATCACTTTAGTGCTACTATACTTTGTGTCATTCTCAAAGTTTCCAAAGAGATAACTAGGTTCTGAAACAAGGTCACTGTCATGACATAAGGACTTTAAAGAAAGTGAAAGTCACTCAGTCATGTCCTACTCTTTGTGACCCCATGGACTACACAGTCCATGGATTCTCCAGGCCAGAATACTGGAGAGGGTAGCCGTTCCCTTCTCCATGGAATCTTCCCAACCCAGGGATCAAACCCAGGTCTCCCCCACTACAGGCAGATTCTTTACCAGCTGAGTCACCAAGGAAGCCCCTGGTGGCTTAGCTTAAAGTCCTTTCCTCTAAGGACTTTAAGGAGATTAACCTGAATGTCTGAACTTCAACTCTGTAAATTGAATCTGGAGCTTTGGTGATTTTTGGAAACAGTCATCTTCTATGAATGAAGCCTCTTAGTTTCAGGGTAAAAAGTCTTAACATTTTCTGCCAGGAACTTGTATCTTAGAATTCAAAGCTTCTAGCTTCCTTTAAGTAAAGTCAAACAAATCAGCCATAACATAGAGCCCTGTAGCTACTTCATGTAGGTACCTCGGTCCAGGGATAAGTAAGTTCAGTGAAAAGATACAGGATCACAAAACCAGAGGGCTGTCCCAGCACAGTCCTTCAAGAGACGCAGTCCTGGCTTACAGCTGCCAGTTCTGCAGCGCTGTCAGAGGCTGCCCTGCTGCTCGCTGGCCCCCAGCCATCCCAGGGCCTCATGCAAACTCCGCCTGCCACGTATCTGGCAGATGAAACTGTTAACCAGGTGCTAGGGGGATCTCTATGCACCAGGGGAGATTATTGTTGATTTACCTTTCTCATGAAGAAAATCTCCTCTAATATTAGTATGAATTGAATGTGTGACAGTCACAATGGAAATATGTTGCTTCTTCAGTCTGAGCAGTTTCCTTCTGTGGCCTTATTATAGAAGGCCCTGGCGTGTCCCGAGTTATATGCTGTACTTGAACCAGTGTGACTGTTTCTTCTAAAATACTAACCAGGATCTTCTTGAGGATCCCTCCAGAAACTCATCATCTCACTGTAGAATTTTTCTAATTTGCTAAAATGCTGCATGGGGTTTCTTGCCCTACAATTAGAAATCCATATCCCATCAATCACATAGATCTCAATCAAGGGTCCATCAAATACAGAGCAAGTCTATACTGATTGTCCAACACCAGGCCATTAAACACTAGGTTTAATTACAGGTGCTTTTTCTGGATAATAATGTTGAGTAGACTGATCTCCTTCATAATAACCATAACTATCAGAACTGTCCCCAAATTGTTGTCATTATTAACCTCTTCCTGGGCTATTCATCTTCTCTTCCATAAATCAAATGTTTCTTAAAATTCTTCTCCTCTATTGTGAAGTGCTAGCCTAGTACTTACTTGTATAACTTACGTTTCTAATTTTGGTTTCTTGTCCAAATGCTTATTACCTCTACTTCACTAGTTGTCTGAACAGTCAAATCTCAGAGTCCCAAAACAGATACATTCATGAGGCTTAATTACATTTCATGCAGAGTCTTGACTATCTGAGACTAAGTTATCATTGTGAGATTACATGACAACTGTGAACAAGTTACCCTTGATAAAGTTAATTCACTTGCTTTGATCCCTGCCTTCATTTTTCTAGCCCGGCACCAAAAACGCTAGGTCATGTGAAACCTACACTTGACATCTTTACCTTAGTGACTTCCCATCAGAGGAGAGTCATTTTCCTTTCATGAAGCAGATCCATTCTTGCTGCTAGATCTGTTTTAAAATACATATATTTCTGGGTGGCATTTGAAATATTTCACTGGGTATGACGTGGACTGACCAATCAGAACAGATGCCAGTCCTAACCCCCCAGTAAACGGGGTCAGCAGAACAGCAGCCCTGCACATGCCAGCTCCTCCTCCGGGTATATTCACACTCAGGTCCTAGCAGACTATGCTGACTCCCTCTTTGGAGCTGAAATCTTAAGACAAGAGATATTGCTACACTGCAGCAGCTGAATCTCATTGCACCTGTCTGGGGCCCCGATGGGGATGAGGAGAGGTTAAACAGGAGGTGTTTGATGGCTGCCGGGCTTCAGATCCCCTGCTGTATTTCCATGTGATTAACGCTGACTCTGTCGTCTCTCTCTTACTCTTTGGATGTGTACAGACACTCTCCATTTCCGGCTGGGCAGTAGGGTTGATCGAGGCTGTCCCTGGTGGGGCCTGGGCTCTTGTGCTTCGTTATGTTGTCATTGCTTTAAACCCAGCCGCCTTCTTGGGGTCATGTCCCAGTCTGCTCTGACCACCTCTTCCTCTTGGGCTTCTGCAGCCAGAAGCAGGGCCAGCACGGCCCTGGAAGTGACAAGGCGGGGCTGGTGTCAGGGCTGTGGACGGGGCCCGAGGCTCCCCCCAGGCAGCACGTTCTCCACACCCGGTCCTCTCCCCTGGGCTCTCACCCTCTGAATCTTGGTGGGAACCTCAGACACATCTCCCTCTAAATCAGAGCACCCAGCGTCTCAAAGCTGAATCATGACGGCACAGTCACCACTTCAGCCTCAAGTATGTTTTCTAAATGTTTAGATGACATTTTGGAGGCACTGTCACTCTGAATGGGGATTTGATCATCTTGGCTATGATTAGTTTGAAGGTTATTTTGACACTTTGCTTGGCAAGTGCAAGTACAAACTACAAGTATGTTTTCAAAGCTATGATTTGGCCAGGGAAAAATAATGGTTTGGGGGTTTATTTTTTAATCTCAAAGTACCACACCCAACCAATGTTTCCTTGGTTTATAAGCAAGAAACCTGAGGCCCAGGGAAGTGAGATGACTTGCCTAAAATAACACAGTTAAGTGGCAGATCCGGGCCAGAATCAAAATCTGCCTGCTGATATATTGTGCTTTCTACAACGCCACCCCAATCCTCTGGTTTTAGAGTCGGCTAAGCTCACAGTCAGATGGTGAAAAGAGGACGTGCTGGTCCAGAATCAGTTCCTTTATATTCTCTTAACTGCTCCCCCTACCAACATTTGAAATCCTTGAAGCATTTTGCTAATTGAGATTTTCATCTTGTGCAAACACAGGGCATTTTTGGAAGTTGGAGAACCAAGCAACCCAAGGTAAACAGCTGTAGGCTTGGACTGGTGTGTAACAGACGTGCTTGGCCCGCATGTTTTGGAAGTGTAATTAAAGGAACACTCTAGTTGTAGTCCACTTTGGGGGCGGGGGTGTGGTTTTGTGGAGTAACGTGTCCTACACTATTCTACCAGAATTTGGAATTTTTCCACGAAGACGTACGGAAATCTGATGTTGAATGTGAAAATGGCCCCCCAATGGAATCCCAGAAGGTGAGTTCACCAGATACGTGTTCCAGCTGATACCATGCAGACTGATCCCCTTCCTCTGCAGATCCATTTCTGATCACTCTGTGTGGTTTCCCCCCTCCACCCTTCCTCTCAGGTTACCCCAGGGGTTCTCACACCGAGTGACCATCCTAAGTGGGAAAGAGGAATGGAAAACAGTATTTCTGATGCAGCAAGAACAGCAGAATACAAAACTGACATCTCAATGAAGGAAAGTTCCCTCTCCACTAAGAGTTTACTTACAGACAGTAAAAACCATTCCCAGAAAAATGTGTCTAAGGTCAATTCTAGTTTCTCTGGCGTTAGTTCATTTGAATGTGAAATCAACAAAAGACCTAAAATCTCCGGGCTGCAGTACCCTGCATCTGACGCTGAGAATCAGAAGATGAATTATGGGAAGACAAAGGGGGTGAGTCAGCAAGGACAAGAAGATTCAGAGAAGGGTCACCTTCCCATTCCCACTAGATCAACCCAATTGACGACCCGTGATGTCAAAACTCAAGACCAAGAGGTTCCCATGACAGAATTCGGCCAAGTTGTCCTAAGACCAAAGGGAGCTAAGCATGCTAACACGACCCCTAGTGAGGAAGGGGAGTCCACACCAAGTTCTCCCAGCGAGGAGAAGGCAACCGACAACATTGCCTTCATGATCACCAAAACCGCGGTCCAAGTTCTCTCCAGCGGGGAGGTCCACGATATAGTGAGCCGACAGGGGGAAGATGTACAGACGGTCAACATTGACGCAAAAAAAGAGACGATATCCCAGCAGGAAGGCACTGAAAGTGAAGAACCTGTGGTGTGCCTGGACAAGAAACCCGTGATCATCATCTTTGATGAACCCATGGACATCCGGGCTGCATACAAGAGACTTTCAACCATATTTGAGGAGTGTGACGAGGAACTGGAGAGAATGATGAGGGAAGAGAAGATTGAGGAAGAAGAGGAGGAGACTGGAGACCCTGCAGTCCAGAATGACACTCCCCAAAAGTTTCCTAAGGAGGGGGCTTTGGGCAGCCCTCGAGCAGGGCAGGAAGCTAGGAGTAAATTGCAGCCACACTTCCTTTCAGTGGAGACAGGAGTGTCAGGAGGACAGGAAGTGAATAAAACCGGGCAGATCAAGTTCAACCCAACCGATTCTCCAAGCTCAGAAAGCCAGGGTGACGTGACCGATGACCAGTTTGAAAGCCCCAAGAAAAAGTTCAAGTTCAAATTCCCAAAGAAGCAGCTTGCGGCTCTCACGCAAGCCATTCGCACAGGCACCAAGACTGGGAAGAAGACGTTACAGGTGGTGGTCTACGAAGAGGAGGAGGAGGACGGCACGCTGAAGCAGCACAAGGAAGCCAAGCGATTCGAGATCAGTAGGTCTCCATCCGAAGATGCCCCTAAAAGCCTGCTCAGGAGACTAGAGCATCCCAGCCCGGAGAGCACTGTTCTGGTTTCGAGAACTGATGAAATCAGAAAAAATACCTACAGAACGTTGGACAGCCTGGAGCAGACCATCAAACAGCTGGAAAATACCATCAGTGAGATGAGTCCCAAAGCCCTAGTTGAGACCTCGTGTTCTTCCCACAGAGATTCTGTTGCAAGTTCATCCCACATGGCCCAGGAGGCCAGTCCCCCATCCTTGCTAGTCCTGGATGAAGCATCCACTGCCTTAGAGCCCCCCTCATCTATACCTTCAGCTTCACGTAAGGTATCTTGGTCTGATGGAAAAATGAAAAGAGCCAGCTGCTTTCTTAAATCTGCCATAATCACCATTAGCAAAAGGTGTCTTGTGATTGACTCGCTTCCTTTCAGGTGGCTCGTTTTGTTTTGTTGTCTGTTCACCATGATCCCTTTCTCTCACACTTTTTCCCTCGCCTTCAAAACAACAACAGCTAGGTGTCTAACAGCTAATCGATTTCTGTTTTTACCTCTGTTGCTGACTGGTGTTGGGAAAACCCCAAGGATGCTGGGCCAGCTATTTGCCGTTGAAGTGATTGCTCTGATACTCACATTAAAATCCGTTTGATCAGTAGTGGGGCAGTTTCATTGTTTGATTCTCCGAATTAACCCCAGTGGTGTCTCCTGATGTCCGTCTCCTAGATCTGTCCTGCATGTAGGGCTGTGGCTTCTCACATTGAGCTTCTCTGCACCAGTGGGGTGGCCTCGGATGACCCACTCACATCATCCTTTCTCTCCCCCCTCTTGCCGCTCCTCCCCACAGGGCTCCAGCGGGACCCCTCAGACGAGCAGGATGCCAGTCCCCATGAGTTCCAAGAACAGACCCGGAAGCCTGGACAAACCTGGCAAGCAGTCCAAACTGCAGGATCCCCGCCAATACCGCCAGGTAGTTTTACCTTAAACCCACTTTTGGATGGACACTCTTGCGCTTAAGAGAAGCAAGTCACTGACTTAGTTTATACCAAATATTGCATTTTTTTCTTTGTTAAGATACGGTTTATCTAGACATCCTGGATTTGGGGGCATGAAGAGAGAGTCTCAAAGCCTTTGTTGAACTTCTCACCACGCTTTTGCATGCTCGCAATAAAACATCTTTCACTGTGTGACTCCAAAGTTGACCTGTAAAAACAAGGTGGCAGGCCAGGTGGCTTTCCTTGGGGGAGTGTAGTGGTTCGTCAGAACACCTAGGGAAAACCGAGAGAAAAGGCTGCCCTGAAAGTCACCAGTACTAATGTGTGTGTGGACTGCATCGCACTAGAGGCATATTAACTATCATGATGCCCCACCCCCACCCCAGTAACAGCCCCCCGCATGCCCCCCCACCCCCCGAACCCAGAGACGGTAGGAGAATGATGTGCCTGTCCTCCAAGTGCTCTTCTTCCTTCTTCCCTGTTCTGTACATCCTCTGCCCGGCACTTGGGGGGTTTCTACCAGGCCCAGTACAGCATGACAAGACTTAGCTCAGGCCTTGAACTGGTTTAAGTTTGGTTTGGTGTCTTTGATTTAATGATCCTCAGAAGGGCTGTGTTGCCAGAGCCTGTGGACTGATGGTGTTACCAGCTTTCTGACAAACTGTCTCCCGCCATCTTTGTTTGCAGGCTAATGGAAGTGCTAAGAAAGCTGGTGGGGACTGTAAGCCTACTTTCCCCTCCTTACCTGCTTCTAAGATTCCAGCCCTTTCTCCCAGCTCTGGGAAAAGCGGTTCTCTGCCTTCTTCTAGTGGTGACGGCCCTAACTTCCCTAATCCGCCTGCTACTAAACCATCGGTTCCTTCTAACCCTCTCAGCCCCCAAACAGGACGACCTGCTCCCTCCGCCTCCCTGATCCCCTCTGTCTCTAATGGCTCCTTAAAGTTTCAGAGCCCCACTCATACAGGTAAAGGTCACCATCTGTCATTCTCACTGCAGACTCAAAATGGCCGAGCAGCCCCTCCTTCCTTCTCCTCCTCCCCGCCCTCCCCTGCCTCCCCCACTTCACTGAATCAAGGTGCAAAGAGCATCAGGAGCAGCCACACTCCTAGCCTCACCAGCTACAAGGCACAGAACGGAAGTTCAAGCAAAGCCACCCCATCCACAGCAAAGGAAACCTCTTAAAGGCCAAATCCAATTAAACACAAGTTGGAGTTACATTTAAGAAAAAAAAAATTTTTTTTAACAGTCTTACTGTTTTCACAAGAGAATGTAACATATTGCTGTACTGTTTGAGGCTTAATGCAAAGTATGTGCTAAATACTGGATTAACAGACTTCAGTAAAGCTTATTTTTTTTTTTTTTACTTTGTTGCTGTTCTAATTACATAGTGTTTACTGTCTCTATTCAGTACCTGTTAAATGAAGCAAGCATGTGTTACCAAAAAGGAGAGTATGGCAAGAGAGAAGGGTGTGTGTGAGACAGAAAAATAAAAAATGTATTAAGCATGTAAAACATGTATGATTCCAGAATTTTAGTATGTTTTGTATAAAAATATTTTTCATTACGGAGACTAGAAGTGAACAGAGAAATACACAAGTGTGACTATACAAATTGTAAAACAGATACTATTATATTTCCTTTTATTTTAGTGTTATTTAGCTTTATTACAGATTTCTATTTTTGTCAAAACTTCATGGTTCCTTTCAAGATCTTTTTTGCCAGAACATTTTGATACTATAGCATTGTACATTTGGAAGTAGCATGCTAGACAAGAAGCCAGTGAACTTCTACACAGGCCGACACAGAGGCACATGTAGAAGGCAATTATCAACCCTGCTGCACTGCCATAAAAATTATGTATAATAATTTGCCAGCCCAAGCAAGCTAGTTCTGCTTTTCTTTCTTTTCAACATGTTGGGATTCTCTAGTTGTTTTCTTTGCAGTATCTAAATCCTCCCTTTGTTTTCTGAGACCTGGTAACCCACACTACTGCATTGTGGATTTTAAAATGTACACTTCTGTACGGTTCTGTAAACTGATCAATTTTTGTAAATATATAAATAGACACCAAAAATACTGTATGTGACAGCACATAGAGTAGTTTTCCCACACCAAAGTTCATTTTTATGCATGCTTTAAACATCTATCTTGGGATGGGCAGAAATGGGACTGCCCGGACATTTTTAAAAAGCAACAAGTTTGCACAGCTAGAGTGTTTTTGTAAATAAGTGTATTTGTATAACACAGTCATGTAATATACAGAACTATAAGCAGAGACTTTGCAAAACTAAATAAAGGGCTGCATGCTTACTATTTTTTGTACCTTGTCCCTATAACTACTTCCTAGTCAAAGAACAAACATAACTGTTACAAAGTTAAATGCTTTTGGCTTTGAGGGCATGGTAAGATGGGTTTTCTGAAAGCTCTGGGGCAGTGCATGGTGAGTTTCTGAGAAATTCATTACAAATATAGTGCCTTCCCATGAAACCTCCAACCTTCTTCGTGGCTTAGCAGGGGTTAGCTGACAGCAAGCAAACCAGATAGTGTCTACCACCCTCCTTTCCTAGATGGACTCTTACTAACTTTTGCTTCTTCATCTCCAGTAGAAGTAAAGTAGAAGTAAAATGCCTTTATCACTAAGATTTTGGTTTTTTTGAGTTCTCAATTTTAAAAGAGATCACTGGTCTAGAGGGAAATATTCTCACTAACATTACCCTATTATGTATTCATTTAAATATCAGCAGAAAAACTAGTGAAAATAATACCAAGATTATGAACTGACTACAAGAAGTCTCAGGGACTTGCTTATCATTATTTTTTGACCCTCCACCCCCAATATTTAACTTGGTTTGGTGCTAAATACAAATGTTACTATTGCTTTAGCACCTGATTATTAATGGTCTCAGACTTTAGGTTTACTGAGCTGGGATGCCTTCACCAGAAATGTTAGTACATCTCTACTAAGTAGTCATTGTAATCACATGTTTCAGGGTACACTCAGGGCAGGTATCTTTTTTGTCCACTTTTAATGCAACACAACTGACACAATATGCATATTGCTGCATAAGGTGTGCAGTGTAATGATCTGACTTACATATGTCATGAGATGATGACCACACTAGGTTTAGTGTCCAGAGACGACATACAGATGACCAAGAGGCACATGGAAAGATGTTCGACATCAGTAATAATTACAGAAATGCAAATCAAAACTACAATGACATACCACCTCACCATGGTCAGAATGGCCATCACTAAAAAGTCTACAAATAACAAATGCTGGAGAGAGTGTGGAGAAAAGGGAACCCCTCTTACACTGTTGGTGGGAATGTACACTGGTGCAGCCAATATGCAAAACAGTACAGTGTTTCCTCCGAAAACTAAAAATAGAATTATCATAAGATCCAGCAACCCCACTCCTGGGCACATACCCAGATAAAGTTATAATTTGCAAAGATACATGCACCCCTGTGTTCATAGCAGCACTACTGACAAAAGCCAAGGCATGGAAACGATCTAAATGTGCACTGACAGAATCGAGAAGACGTGGCACATATGCACAGTGGGACATCACTCAGTCATCAGAAGGAATGAAATAATGTCATTTGCAGCAACAGGGGTAGACCTAGAGACCCCATACTAAGTGAAACACAAATACCATGTACCCCACATATATGTGGCATCTGAAATGTAACAGGAATGAACATACCTATGAAAAAACAGACTCAGACACAGAGCAGGCTTGCAGTTGCCGAGGGGGAGGATGAATGGGGGGCTTGGGCTCAGCAGAGGCACGCTGTTATATACGGGACCATCAGCAAGGTCCTCCTGTATAGCACAGGGAACTACATGCAATGTCCTATGGCAAACCATAATGGAAAAGGGTAAGAAAAAGAATACATATGTATATGTGTAACTGAGTCACTTTGCTGTACAACAGAAATTAACACAATACTGTAAATCAACTTCAATAAAATTTTTTATAAATTAAAAAGAAATAAGTTTAGTGAACATCCATCATCTCATATAGATACAAAATTAAAGCAGTAGAAAAGAAAGTCATTATCTTATACTTTGTAAGTATAAAGACCTCCAACATTTTAATCATGTCCCATAATCTCAACAACTACATTATATAAATTATAACGTATATGTTACAATGTATATTGAAAATATATACACAAACTAGCTGTTTATGTCAGCTTATTTGCTCTTGTGTATGGACAAGCTGAGAATTCTTTGTGAGCCGATAAACACAGTTTCCAGTTGGAACGTCAGACTTCCCGGAGCCCTAGCCAGGATGCACAGGTGATGGTCAGCGTCAGCCAGTGTAATGAAGGCTGAAGCGCTGCCTGCCTGCTCAGGAAGTTGGAGGGGAAACTACCATACCTGAAGGGATTGAACCCAGGTGCCCAGAGCTCCCTTCACAAAAGGGCACCTTGGTTCCTTTAACTGAGGGAATGATGTCAGGTAGGGTGAGCTCTTGGATTTTGTTAAACCACTACTAACAGATTCTCACTTAGTTCAGTGGCTCAGTCGTGTCCGACTCTTTGCGACCCCATGGCCTGCAGCACGCCAGGCCTCCCTGTCCATCACCAGTTCCCAGAGCCTACTCAAACTCATGTCCATCACGTCAGTGATGCCATCCAACTGTCCCATCCTCTGTCATCCCCTTCTTCTCCTGCCTTCAATCTTTCCCAGCATCACAGTCTTTTCAAATCAGTCAGTTCTTTGCATGAGGTGGCCAAAGTACTGGAGTTTCAGCTTCAGCATCAGTCCTTCCAATGAACACCCAGGACTGATCTCCTTTAGGATGGATTGGTTGGATCTCACTGCAGTCCAAGGGACTCTCAAGAGTCTTCTCCAGCACCACAGTTCAAAGCATCAATTCTTCGGCACTCAGCTTTCTTTATAATCCAACTCTCACATCCATACATGACCACCATATGGAAAAACCATAGCCTTGACTAGATGGACCTTTGTTGGTAATGTCTGCTTTTTAATATGCTGTCTAGGCTGGTCATAGCTTTTCTTCCAAGGAGCAAGTGTCTTAATTTCATGGCTGCAGTCACCATCTGCAGTGATTTTGGAGCCCCCCAAAATAGTCTGTCACTGTTTCCATTGTTTCCCGATCTATTTGCCATGAAGCGATGGGACCAAACGCCATGATCTTAAATTTTCTTTTAAGCTCATCATTCAGCCAACTGGCTGCACCTGAAAAAAGATTCTTAGAAATAAACCATGGGGGCTTCTCAGATTCTGTCAATAACCAATCCATCAACCAGGTCACTTGCTGGCTATGCAACCTGGGGCTTGTCTTGGCTTCCTTGTCTCTTAATAGAAAATAGTAATGGAGTCTACCTCACAGGGACACTGCTGAGGTTAAACATGACGTAGTAATGAAAACTCCTAGGACAGAGCCTGACGTACAGCACACTCAATAAAGACTAGTTGGGGCCGGTGTCCTTGTCACTGCTACAATCGTGACTGGAAACTCCCCTTAAAAGCGTCAGTCTGGCTGGGGGGTGGCACAAAAGCGGGCAGGCGGGGAGGAAGACTCGTCTCACTGCGGCTGGAGGAGTCCAGAAGAGTGGCCGTGTGGTGGCAGTGAGGGCACTGAGCCTCACTCAGAGGGCACAGTGTCTCAGCGCTAAAGAGGCTGCTTTTATTTCAATGCTGCTTGAGGCTGAACTTCTTTCCAAAATAAATACATACTTCTAAACGGACTAGGAGCCAAGCCAAGGCCCTCCAATTGTGGTTACAGAAAAGTCCTTGGTAAGACCTATTTTGCCTTTTTTTCAAGCCTGGGAGGAAGTGTCCCCAAATCACCCCACCCAGATGCCTTGGGTGGTGAGAGGTGCTGGTGGCCATCCCTGAGCTGAATCCCATGAGGAACAGGGGACACAACTACTAACGGGGACCCAGAGCAGGTGTGGCCAAGCCTCACCCCCAGCCAGATTCATCTCAGATGGCTTCCACCACCTGCCCTGTGATTAGAAGGAACCTTCTCCCCTCTTCGTGTTCTGTAAATGACAGCATTTGAGAACAACCAGGAAACCCTTTTGGAGGGAGTCAAGGAATGAAAACTGCCTCAACCCAAAATTCAAAAGTTAATTTTGCTAAAGTAACCAGGGGATATCATCTAGGAAAACACACCACTCAACCACGCTCCTGAGGGGAGA